TCGTTGATCAAACTAACAAAACTCGATACACTTATGAAATTTAGCATGCTAGTTTCGCATGTCGCTATATCAAAACATGGTAAGGTGTCAAGAAGCCCCAATCGGAACAAATCTGACTTTTGAAGCGTTGCGTTGATATCAGATTCAAGATCGACACACCCGATTGACTCAACATGTCAAACTCTATGGTGGTCCCATGGGACTGCTTGACAACAAGTCTATCAAGCCACTGCAAATCATACGTACCGCTTAGTATGCGAGTCATTTTTACCGTCTCTACAGCCAAAGCGCCACAATTAAATCCATGTTAACGTTAGACATAGTGGCACGTGTGGAATGTCTTCACATGCCAACTCCATGATACATTTTTTAAAACAAGCATCCATGGAAATAAAATGAGTGATGATATAGAAATAGAAAGCAGTATAATATTATTAACTTTTTCCAAAACAGTCGAGACAGAATTGTCGCAAGTATCACAAATCTCTTGATTCTTTAGTTTTAGGTATCTTGCTCCTTGTTTCTTTATTAAAACACCGCTTACAATACCGTCTTACTTCATGTGACTTTGTAGCCAGTGAAATACTTTTCACGGACCTTCCCGTCGGTGTGATTGAGGAAATGTGGAACAGATGTCTCGCATGTTGACTCATTTTGAAACTGCACGTAAGAGGTAATAACAAAAAGCAATTACTGTCACCTCTGATACCCGCTTCAAAATTGTCGTGAAAACAGCTTAAGAGATGCTAAAAAATTAATTAAACATATTCATGCATAATGTAACTCATTAGAAGAATAGTCGGTAAGACTATACTTTAGCACATATCGCAAATACTTCATTTCTTACTTTAAAATGAAAGATTAGGATGTAACTTTTACGAAAATATCATTTTTTTTCTTTAAGGAACCCTCTGCTCGCTATTTTATAGAACTGCGAAGTTGCATTTTTGGTGGTAATACTCTAGAATAGAAAAGTGTTTTATATGCTGTATTTTTTTACTTTGTGTACAAAAGGATGCACTAAGTTATAAGAATATAACAAACACTGTATAGTACTAAGGAAAATATATGTGAAACTGTGAAAAACCGTTGTTTTTTGCAAAAACAGGTTCAAAACCAGACGTGTAATAACACATTATCTTATTAGCTTAAATAACAGATCAAAATACGTAATTAGAAATGATGTTATTTCCAAAATAAAAGTCTTAACTTATTGTATATGGCTTGTTTTATGGAAAGTTGTCCCAATATTACCGAAAATTAGATGAAATTTTGAACAGTATGTGTCTAAACAGTGGAAAATGCACAAGCGGCTCACGTAACAAAAAAAAACAAAAAGGCACCAGCGGCCATTGCATATAAAATACCCAACGTCGATTCGTCGATTTGGACCACATCGCCAGGTTCACCCAACGTATCCTCGTCCAACATTATAGTTAAATAAAGATCAACGATCATTTCATCAAATCAAAAAATTTGCAATGTTCTTTGTTATGTTTTCATTACTTAGTGATTTGCAACAGCTAATTTTTCAGTTATTTCCCATATATATCACATTTAATTTGGTATATTTTGTAACATCATCTTCACTTTAAGTAATGCTTCTAGTACATGCACACAACAAGTAAATAGACTATAACTATAATATAGGAAAAAAAATAACCGAAGTACTTTTGTGAAGGGCATAAGGCATTCTTCAAAAAATTTTCTTTAGCTAACGCTATCGTAGCGCACAGGGTGGATTTAGTACTATACAACCTGCCGGCCACACCTCCAAATCGCATTTTCATGACAATCCTGCGCCGATTGCACATTTTGGCGCTAGTATACGAGGGATGTCTTTTAAGTTTTGCATATAGAAACATAGGAGGCCGCGCGGATCGAACGTCACTACTGAATCTTAACCTCACTCTTTAGTAAACTTAAATTCAAAGTTTCACAACAATACGTGCAGTGTTCTCACTACAGTGAATTTTTAAGTGTCACCAAGTCAAACTCATCATTGAAGATAGACATGTGACATATCGCGAGATTGAGGCGTCCTTGAAGATCTCACAGACCTCAATTCAAAAAATTTTACATGAAGAACTAGGAGTAAGAAAATTAGTTTCTCGTTGGATACCCCACCTGTTGACTGAAGAGCAGAAAGCAGCTGGGGTTAATTGGTGTCAAAAAACGCTTGATCGTTTCAATTCCGGAAACTCAGAAGATGTTATCACCGAGCTTCGAAAAGTCAACCCCGAAAGAAGAATCATCTTCCACCAATACAATGCAAGCTCGCAAACAGCCCAAAAAACAAGACAGTATTTAACGGAAGAAGACGTGGAATAATTGGACAATCCTCCATATAGTCCCGGTCTAAGTCATAACGATTTCTTTACTTTCCCGAAAATTAAAAACAGATTGCGTGGTCAAAGGTTTCAGTCACCAGAAGAAGCAGTAGACGCATTCAAAAATGCCGTTTTGGATCTGCCAGCAAACGAGTGGAATAAATGCTTCGAAAGTTGGTTCGAGCGCATGCAGATATGTATTAATCTTCGTGGAGAATACTTCGGAAAACAATAAAGTCATTTAAAACTTCTTACCGTATTGTTTTATTTCCATATGCAAAACTTAAAAGGCATCCCTCGTATAAGTAAGAATTTGACAATCCTAATTGAGGTATATTACTATCCATGATTTGGCAAAATCGCAACTATATGGAGAGAATATGACAGTGACGGTGGTGTAGTGATGGGAATAATTATCTGAAATAAAACAAATGGTTACTTAACAATGAAGTATTTTCATCATTAAAATAATGCAAAATTGCATTATTGCGATGAACAGTGTCACAGTAACTTACAGTGTATGTTATATTCATTTAATTTGCAACAATCTTTTGTATAAACAAGAAGAAAACAACTTATATAGTGGATACCAAATAAAACCCGATGCACGTCATCGATCTGGAGCTGTGCGCTGTTGCCAGAATTTGCACATTTTCTTTTAAGCAAATAAATTTAATAAAATAAATTGTTTATATATACCTACCATTTACTATAATACCATTATATTAAAAATAAATAAACTTGTTGTAAAATTAAATTCCTTTCTGAATAAAAACACCTGATTTTGGTAGATATTCAATGATATGAGCTCTTTACACCGTTAAGTTGTTTTGGCATTTTGGATACTTTACACCACTTCACAGTAATTGTAGTTCTGAAAAGAACAATTTTTAATTGGCAAGGCAACGATTCAAAGCTCAAATAGCGCAAAACTCACAAACTAAACAATAAAGAACTAATAGTACGACAAAAGGACAATGGCAACTGATGTCAACAAATGACAAGTGGCAACCTCACATTTCTCTGCACGGCACTACCAACCGAATCGAGACGGGGAAATTTAAACTTCAAGTAGAAATGTCACGTTGAATGTAGTCAACTGTTGGTAACCATGATTTTTATGAATGACATCACCTATGACGTGCATCGGATTTTATTTGGTATCCACTATAAAGCAGTATTCTGTACCACAGTATTAGCACCCAAAATGCAACTTTGAAGTTCTATAAAATAGCAAGCAGAGGGTTACTTAAATAAAAAATGATATTTTCGTGCAAGTTACATCCTAATCTTTCTTTTTAAAATAAGAAATGAAATATTTACGATATGCGCTAAAGTATAGTTCAGCCGAATAATCGACTGAGAGTTGGACTTGATGGAAATATTTTCGACGTTTTGCTTGGCGTGTAACGTGTTGTGACGGGTTTTGGTTTTTAGTGTAGAGGATTTTCTTGGATGCAATTCTTCTCTATCAAAGATTTGTTCTGTTTTTAGTACAAATGATCAATATTTTGTACACTGGGGTAATTCTGGATGATGATTCCAGATATTGCTATCAAACAATGCAAAAGTATGTCTTTTTTTCATTCTTTCAAAAGGACAAGCCTACATATGCTGAGCTGGAGGAGGGAAGAATATTTGTAGTCACTTACTTACTGTCGAGAGACCTGAAGGAACAATTTGGTATAGTTTACTGCTTTAACATTACTGGACCTGATTATTTTATTCGCAACAACTGCCAGTAAAAAGATAGATTATTTATTATATAAAGAATATTGTTCTCCGCATAACCTCCTTACTCTGTACAAGGCCCATATAAGTCTTAGGCTCGGGTGCTACTCACATGTTTGGGGTTCTGCCGCCCCGACTCAATGCCCTACAAATAAGGGCTGCCCAATGACCGACAGTTTCAAGCTCTCTACACAGACTTTACCAGTGCTGCCAACCTTAGGCAGTTGAAAAATCGGATTAGCAAGGCATCTTTAAATTCCTTATAGCAGTCGAGGTGCCTCTGTATTCAGGTTTCTGCCTACGCTACTACTTCAGTTTAAATCCCATTTAGAGTAGGACTCTGGGGCTTCCGGGGACTCCCGTTGACCCCAGTGAAGAACTAAAATCAGATGTGTGGTCTATCTATAGGTATTTACACCTGAAACGGGATTCGATCGACATCGCAGGTATGCAAGCATTTTTGAAAATTTCCTGTTAGTCAAAGAACAAAGCTACGTACACTGAAGTAATTGGAGATCCTGATATTGCATATTGCTGTCAGAAAATGAAGCTAAAGCCTCACCTACGTAAATGAGACCTCTGGCTGATCTCAGGGAAAAACTGGCATCAAGATCATGTGATGTATGTAACTGATTTACTCAAAAGGTTTTGATCAAAAATGCAGGTTTTAAAAGCTAGTATTGTATGTATTCCGTATGTTATTATGCCGCGGTTCATGCATTCTTGTTGAGCAAGTTCACTTATGAATAACTGCTCAGGCACAACATCATACATGTACGTACTTGCAAAACATTTGTTTACACTTTCCGCTACTATATCTGTTTTCTATTTAAACACATGCACAATGCATATGCATCGCATGCTGCAGCTCTGCTCACGGCCCCACAACCTAACTTCTGTAAACATAAATATGCATGTTTTAATATCAAAAATGCCAGAATGAATCGAGTTACTGTTCCACAGTGTGTGCAAATATTTACCCAAAAGAAACTCATGAAGGCCTGCCTCTGAAGTAAGTTGGGATGTACGTGGTTAGTTGGAACGGGATTGAATGGTAAAAACGGCGCCAAGGAGGTAGACTCTGCAATTCCCACGCAACGCAGTCTTCAGTTCATAAAGGATTATGCTCGACATTGCTTAGAAAAGAGTAAGCTAGGAACATGTATCTCAAATCAATAGTTTTAAAATTATTTTTTTATTTATGTATTTAGGACTGTATGAACAGTTCTTTCCAAAATTACAAAGTTTACAAGAAGTGACTATTACGGAGACTAACCGGATATTTCAATTGCTGTAAACCCTATTTATACTGTCGGGGTAGGTTAAAATGCATTTACAGAAAAAACTATTCACGCAGGAGTTGTTATCCCTATGTTTGTGTGGACGAACCAAGCCACATGTGTTTAAAATTCCTCTTTATAACAGGACGTTATGGCCCCATTACAATTGAAACCTTTTAGACAATGTATTATTCTATTTATCAAGTGAGACTTTTGTTTGTTTCAACCTTTATTTTTCACACTCCTGTATAATATATACTCAGAAACGGCCGGTAAAACGCAGAGATTGCGCAAGGCATTTAAGTACAGCTGAAAAAGGTCACAGCTTGGACCAAAACGTCGACAATAGGGAGGCACTTTAAACATTTGTAGTTTGATTCGGCCAGATAAACATGACGGATTATAAACATGAAGACCACAGGATGAGTTTCAAATGTTACATTCATGGTCCATTAGGTAGTTTGGAAAATATCAATTAGGCCTTTCATCCAAGGATACTCAACCAAATTGGGTCACAGTCCACGAGAGAACTAGAAAGACAATTACTGTTGGTGGAAAGTTGAGACTTTGAATTTGATATTTAACAATTTTTTTAGGGTAACGGTTTCTGTAAAGTATGTTTTTCAGGAAATGTCTTTCTTTATCTAAGATTGACTGATTTGACGGTATAGGTTTGATTTTGTCTCTTTCGTTATCTTATGCTGACTCAATGTATGATGCAAAATGAAATTATAAACTGCATAGTTACTAAACGCATTCAACATGTATAACACATGGATCATATGGATCAAGTCAGTCAGATGACCATAGTGTCTACCATCGAGGTATAATAAAAGAGGAGACGAAGTCACGTGACTTTGAGCGGCACCGGGTACGCCATATTGATGACTGACTTCTGGTAAAGTTATGTCAAAGTGTGTTATGCGAGTTGTTTTGGATTTCGTTGCAGTTAATTGTACTTATTTTTGAAATTCAGAGGCTTTTGTGATACTGTTTGCACAAATTGAAGAATATTATAAAGGTGTCTTGTGCTCTACGGAGTTTTGCAAGTCGGACTGAAGTGAATAAAAAGAATACAACAGGATACACTTTCCATAGGTTAGTATAAACATATTACAGAGACGGACCTAGGTATATACCTATATTTTATTTCCGCTTTATTGCTTATTATAGAAAATCTTGTTTGCCAAAATTATTAGGCTTATTATTAATACCTCTCAGTGAAGCTGACCTAACTAACCAAACTACCCGTAATATATCTAATTTATCGAAAAAATATAAATAATAATTTATCACTTAAATTTTGAACTGCAGGTCATGAGATTGTATTATTTTCATAAAATGCATGTCAGGGTGCTTGATTTTCATAAATAAAACTTATCTTTGTGAGTTGAGCCATCTAATATTTTTATTTTGAATATATTTATTAATTGTAGATTCCCTAAAAACGCTGACCGTTGGCAACTTTGGGTGAAATTTGTTAATAGGGGTGAATGGACACCTACAAGATCTATTGTTAATTGCTCGAAACATTTTTTTAATGAGTCATTCGATAGAACATTAAAATGTTATATTAATATATAAAAACCAGGTAGGTATGTTAATAAAATCATGTTTGTTTCCTAAAATGTTCTGTATACTTAATTCAAAACAGTCATTATGTTTTTTGTCCTTTTTGTAGTTTTCCTTGACATAATGTCATCTTAAATGCATGTTTTAATGCAAATTCGGTCCATTTATCGATAGCATGATTTATATGACCACAGCCGACGTCAACTACGAGCCGTGAACAAAGAAATCTGGCAACGTAGATGGTAGTGTTACTCCCGCCGTTGCTTGCTGAATCGACGCAACTCGTGCTCAAAACGCTGAGAAAACATAACCTTTTCAATTTGTGATTTTGGCATCCCAGAGGCTGTAATTAAGAGATCAGCTTGTTTTCTAAGCTTCAAAATGTGTGTATGTGTTCAAAGTGATCGGAGACTATAATATATGAGAAATAGACTCCAGTTGTAGTGCTTCTGTGCTTTAAAAATAAATTAAGAAGTGTGACTGTGGCTGTTCGCGCCTCAGGACGCTAAGGATTTCAACTATTGAAAACGTGCAAATTCAGGTTGTATTTTTTTTTTCATTTATCAAGTATTTGACGCAGACAATATGCCTCGTTGTTGCTGTGTTCCTTTATGCAATGCAAACTATAATTCTGCTTTGAAAACAGAAAGCTATGTTTCAACTTTTCGCTTCCCAAGTACCGAAAGTCTGAAAAACAAATGGCTTATGACAATTCCCAGAAAAAATTGGACACCTTCAAAATATTCAGCTGTGTGCAGTCGTCATTTTAGAGAATCGGATATCATCAGGACAGAAAATATAGTTTTGGCGGATGGAACAGTCCATAATAATATACCTTTGAAATATCCAAAATTGAAAGAAAATGCTGTTCCCTCTATTTTCCCAAACTTGCCATCATATCTTTCAAAAACTGAAGCACCCAAAAGAATTGACCCAATGCAAAGGAAACAAAAATTAATTGAGAAACGTGAACAAGCTATCCAGAATTTCGATGATATGGATAAGATCAAAAATAAATTTAGTTCAAAAATGTGGATTTGAAGTTATTTGTGTTGTTACTGATAATCACCGAATTAATAGAGCAATGTTCAGGAAATTAGCAAAGGATTCATCAGAAAATTATTCTATTCCAAATCCACATAATCCTGATAAGAACATATATTTAACTTATGATGTTGTGCATATTTTCAATTGTATCAGAAATAATTGGTTTAATTTAAAAAACATTCGTGCTGTATATCAATTGGAAAAAGAAGCTGTAGTTAAGAAAGCATATAAATTAAATTATAAAACATTGCATCCAAATTCATTTGAAAGGCAAAATGTAAATTTTGTAGATAATTTATTCCATTACTCAACAATAGCTGCTATGAAAGAATTAAAGTTTAATGATGCTGCACACTTTTTGGAAATAATCAGGAATTGGTGGGATATTGTCAGTAATACAAGTGTAATAGAGGGAGAATTGGAGCGAAACGAATTTTATAAGCCTATTACCAATAAATATGATTATAGAGTACAATTTTTGAAAAAATTCCTGATATGGTTAGAAAAATGGCATAATCTAGAGAATAATAATGGACACCTGACACCAGAAACGTATGCAGCTCTATATCAAAGCACGCTGACTCTACTTAATATAATTGAATATTAATTTAATCAATTTGACATTGAGTATGTATTGCCTGGAAAATTCACCACTGATAATTTAGAAAAACGATTTGGCAATTATAGACTTTTATGTGGCTGCAATTACAATGTGTCATATGATGAAATTTTAAATGCTGAAAAGAAAATACGGCTGAAGCATATTTTCAATGAAAAGAAATCGTCATTTTCTTTAGCAGAAATTAAAACAAGGTTCCAAAACTGCTTAGAAACTCAAGAAAATTTTGATTTCTTGTATACCAAACAAAATCCTGAGTTTTGGATATATTCAATGAAATATTTGAGACAAATTACTTAGCCAATTGTGACATAGAGGATAGTACTAAGACTTATATATCTGGATATGCTTCACACGCTATCTCTAAAAACCTAAACTGCGAGATATGCAAATCGCTAATAGTTAAAGAAAAAGGTTCATTACCAACAAATGTTTATTTTGATCATTTGCAAAGAGGAGGACTGTCAATTCCAACTAGTTATGTACCAATCATATTCTACCATATGTATGCCATTTTTGAATCTATTATTAATGTAGATAGATTGGAAATTTTCTTCTTGAAAAGCAATAATCAAAAATTTATTTTGTGTCAGTTAACCTTGCTCAGCATTCAGTCTGACTTTATATACAGTGAATTTTCTTTAACTTGCATATGTGGCCGCAATTATGCAGATATTTTATCTAAGCTTTTGTCTATTTTTTCAAACATAATTTTGAATGATTATGTAACATTGAAAAATAACAGTAAAACTGAAAGTAAATGTATTAAAAACGAACAGGTAACTCCACATTTCCAAGCTGGGCCTGTTGGAACACAGTGTGCTGACATCAAAAAACGTAAACCAAATACTTTTAATTAGGTTAACTGCATTAGCGACTCATATATATCACGATTATTTCGTATTTTTAAATTGTTTAGAGCTATTTCATATTCGGGCGGTTTGTATCGAATCGAACTGTACTCTTTTTCAAAATTAAATTTAGTTCTTGAACGTTACACGGCTCGTAGTTGACGTCGGCTGTGATATGACAATAGCGGCTCGTTTTGTATTATATCTCGATGGTGTCTACATACCCGATAACGACGTGATCTAGAAATGTCTCTCGTAGCGTAATGACAGCGGATATCAGTTGGCAATGTCGTTGTGACTGAGCTTAACACTCGCTAACGTTTCTCGTTGCAGCCACGCATCCGTTAGATATCGGTCAGCCCTCGAAGCAGGTTCGTTCAGTTGAGGGGGACGTAGGACGAGGGACGCGTGTATTGAAAATATATGTCTATCACTCAGACTTTTAAAGGGAAATCTATGATTTATGAAATATGCCTAAGGTGTGTAAAATTATGGGGTACGAAGCGCGTAAATCTACAAGAATTGAAGCCTCAACAAACCACAACAAAATTTGGTTCTGAAATAACTTGCCTCCACGGTCAAGGGTATCATATCGTCTACCACCACCACTTTGCATTGATACAGGGTTAGAACCGGCGCAGACCAAGACGACCTGATTAGTCGACTATTAAAAACCACCGCATGTCCTACCTTTCTTAGTTAAGATGTCATTAGAATCGTGTTAGCAGAATTAAAATTCCACTTGTATCAGTTATTGCAGTCTGCTTTAATATCTTCATTTTTCGAACTCCACGTACTATACTGATTATTTTTCTCATTTTCTTGCAACAGCTGAGTCTTGCATGAAATTCAATCAGTTGGATTTTTTTGTGGAAGACTGTCAACAATTCTGGAGCTCTTCAGCTTAACCATTGAAACATGGAAAATATAAATAATATGATACCGAACTAATAGAAGTGTATGCCATATTACTCAATTATAACTAATCATTCAACCACACAAAGAGATTTCCAGCAGGTAAAAACAAATTCTATTCGTTATCAAACCTGGGCGTGCAGCTTTAGTTTAAAATTAAATAGTGTGTAATTTGGGAACAAAATAGGAAGACCATTATATAATTTAATAATAAATTATTTTTTGTAGACAGCTTTATGTATTCGATTTATGTCACTCCATCGCGCTAACTTCTTAGGCAAACATCGTTTTTGCTTGGTGGCTAACACCTTATATGTGAGTGTCAATAAGTGAAGTTTTTTCATAACTATAATTTAAAGCTCCTGAAATTCATGAGAAATATGATCAAACTTCCATATGCCGCAAAAAAAAGACGCAAGGATTCTGAATACGTCATAATTTGCCTTGTTTACTTTATGATGCATTCATATATAGTAGCACAATAAGTGATTTTTGACATTATTATTGTTTTACATAGTTTCAGTTTTAGTTTTACTCTGACCGTGTTTTGATGTTGGATGGTCGGCGATTGAAACTAGTTTTTGGATATTAAATCCTTGTACTCTAAAAACCAAAACGAATGTCTTAGGTTAGAAATGCATCAAGGATATTTAATTCGTTGTTTAACCTACTGAGCTTTTATAAAAACTGTTACGTGGCAGCCGTAACACGGTATATAATCTCCACAAAAAAATGGATCTGCAAGAACCTGCATTCTATCATCAGTGAACACGACTGATAAATTGATCTGTAACTTCTCGCCAAAACCGTGGGCCATAAATATCAACTACATCTTGCTTGTCGTTGTTCATAAAAAACTGCGCCCACATATATTTTCCATCTACAACTGAAAAATTCGTAGGCTGTCGGTGGACGATAAATTTTGAAACGGATCGTGGGTCGTTCGGACAACTGCACTGCTCCGATATGACTTGGATTTGTGAATAGTGGACAACACTTCTTCAGAAACCTATGTGAGTATTTTTGATGTTTTTCCTTGAAAGTCTTCTTGCTTCAGCTCATTTTGAGAGAGCTGATCTCACTTTGAATAAACCGTAGATCAGCCATATTTAGTAAAATTTGTATAGTGGAATATGCAAATATTGGAGCTCCAAAGTATACTTAACAGAAGAACTCAGGTAACTTTCGGTGATCATTGGAGTAGTAGTATCGCTCTGATTTTAGTGAAATCTGAGCTATGTATGTCGGGGACAAAAAGTTCTGCAGTTCTTGAAAATCGGTCCCGTAAAGTAGAAGTAAGTAAAAAGTAAGCAAGTAGAACCTCGTTTGTTGACGTCACAGATGCTTCTATCATTTTTGGGGAAATTTTTGCATGTACTTTGATTCCAAGTACAAAAGCTAAAATCTTCACAGTCAATTTTTCTCTCAAGACAGTTACATGTACAAAATGTAACCGTTTATACATTGGTGACTGCGGTGAGTAAAAAGTGCAGAGTCAACCTACTTGACACCACTTTTAGCGTGTCTGACTAGGTTATTAAAAAAGAGAGCGAGTTGATTTGTTTGTGTTCAGTATTTTTCAATCAAGTAGAAACAAAACCCTTATCTA